TCAAGCGCGGTTACAGCACAGGCTGCTGGGTTTGGCCATTTGGGTATGCAAAGGAGCCCCCACAAAAACACACACACACACAGCTCACGCCACGACAGATAAGGCCACGTGAATCCTTCGCTACTCACCAGCGCTCTCCTCCAGTCTCCACTTCACTTCGGTCCCTGATCGCCGCGCCGGGTGAGCAGCGATAATGCCCATGATGAACTTGGCGTCCGTTGTTCCCTGCGCGCAGGCATTCCCCGCGTTCATGACCCCCGCCGCTGGCTTCCACCGTCGGGACCACACGCATGCGGCGGCCTCCAAGAGCGGATTGGCCTGCCGTGTCGCGCGCAGCGGGGGCGGTGGCGCCCGGTGGCTGCCGGTCTCCTGTGCAGCGGGGGGCGGCGTAGGTTAGGATCTCTGTGACTCATCTATTTATGGTTGCTGCAAGTTTTGGTTCCTAATTTTCCCTTCAGTTCGAACTTGGGGTATAATTACTAAGTTCAGGTAATTATTAGGTTTTTACTTTTTGAAATTATGTTAATGTAGATACTGATTGTCGGGGACCAATACTAAGGTACCCGAAGAAGAGGAGCTAATAACCATCAACATTGATTCATCCGAGCAGTTAAGAGCACGACTACAGCTCCAACCGACCCCAGGAGCACAAGCTCCGCCTCGCCCGGCCTATGGGGGCTGGCTCCGCCTCGCTCGACACCGAGACCACGGGCTACAAATGTGAAGTTTCCTCGGGAACTAACAGTTGCAGGCTATACATACCCTTTGGTTGCAGTTGGCACAGGTATATTTCGCTGTATGTCAATATCAAACTAAATTCCGTATTGTTCTTTCACCCTTTTCTCGTACTGACTTTTGTGGTTGAGTTAGTCTGTGATAATAGAGGGTTTAAGTGGTCGAATAAATGGGTTATAACATGTCTGTTAAGCTTTCTTGTAAAACCGAGTGGGTACCTTTGATCTGAGTACTGGATTTATGATCATATATTATATTTTCTAACTATCCAACAGTATGAACTTTTTGATGTTATTATCACATTGTTTGTCTTTGTGGAAAAATAATGGAACCAGAAGAACCATTTGTTTTTCTTCATCACATTTCTGCATTAATTGCTAGAATGGCTTGCAGTTAGATGGATGGAAAACATTTAATAAAGGTTTTGCACCTTTGCTATTTACAGTTCATACTATTCTGTAATATTTGATCCAAAATTCTTAAGAATTTATGATTCAGAATTGATCCTTTCTCTAACCTACCCCCTTTGTTGTAGTTCTTTAATGATTTGATTGTTATATATAACAGTGATACCAGAGATTTCTTCAAGTAGTGACTTCTATCTAAATTATCTTTTCAATATAATGTGGTGTGTCTCCTATGGTTTAACTATACAAATTCTTTAAGAATTTTGGGATAGAAATCTTGAGATTAGACTCTATAATGAAAAGCTAAAACTGTCAAGAAAATATGCCAATATGCTTTGAATCTCTCATGATTACATCCAGCCTCCCTTAAGCCTATGGTGTGAACTGAAAGTAGGTCCAATTACTTTTTATTGAACTTAATAAAGTTTACTTTGCAAACTCAGGACTTCTGACTATTTCAAATTGAATTTACTAATTCTCCAAAACTATCAAGATGTTCAGGAAAGCTTTGCACTCTAATGTTATATGCCCATTTGTGTTCAGAATGAAAACCTTTGGTATAAGTTGATCACATAATATCTCCTGTAACTATGAGCAGTCTCTAGTCACTGAGTTTGACCATATTATTAAATTATTAGGTTAATATTATGTTAGTACTTAGGTTGTGTATTGTTTTGAGAAGCATCGAAGGTTAACACATTTAATGTTACAGTAATATTTTATACAGTGCGCTTTCAGACACTCTTGGAGTAGTGATTCCGCATGTTGATTATTTTCTAACAAATGTATCCATGGAGGTCATATTCATTTTAAAATAATACTAATTATTATAAGAAAGAAACAGCAAAAGCTCGAATGTGTAGAAGTCTTGGAATCAAAGCAGTTAATCAATGAAGTATAGAAGTGCCAAATGGCATGTCAACGTATCCAAATCTTCACTGTTTCAGAAAGAGATGATATTTTTGTCAAAGGATGATTGATATTTGATAGAATAAAATGAGATACCAGAACATTGTTTAGCATTACCTATTTGAAACATTGCCCAAATGTGAACTATTTTTGGGATGCTACATTGGAGATGTGGGATTAACCCAGGTGATTTGATAGGCTCCTCAGCAATTAACTCCACTAGGATCCTTCCGTGTCACCTCCCAAGGCGACGGGAGGGCCGCCGCCGCCGCCCAAAAACTCCACCATAGCCTCCACCTCCGGCCACTGCTGTCGCAGGTCCGCGCGGCGGTGGCGGCCATCACTGTCACTGAAAAAAGGTGTGCATCTGCACCTCCTTCCTCCTCCCCTCTCATTTCTTCTCCTTCTTGCTGGTGTTTCAGCATGCAGGGTGGGTACTGCGGCCATGATGTTGGCAAATCCGGAGCTCCTAGGATCAGATCCAGTCCTCCTTGTGCCTGATATGCCGGTGGCTTGAGAGAACTATTCATGGTTCCTGCCGACATGCTCCTCCTAGGCGTTTGGTGGCTGGGCCGGCGGACTCCTCAAGCTCCCTGGCCAGGGCACATCCCATGCATGTCCGGGCAGAGAATGGCAGTGCTGTAGCGTTGACGCCGGCAACTGCCTCAAGGTTGCGTCCCCCGATAGTGCAGCAGGCCGGGTGTGGCCAGCTCCTCATCCCTTGACTAGATCTGCGCCCCCGACAGGCCTGGAGCGGGCCGGCTTCACCTACGCGGCCCTGGTGCTCGGTGGTAGCTTCATCTGCTGCGCCGTGCTCCCGTACTCGACTGAAGGTACACGTACAGGTATGGTACGATGCCGGCCTTTGTTCGCCATGGGGTGCTTGACTGTTATGTGATTTCTTGGCAAAAGTCTAGCCTGGATCATAGCCGTGCCGGTGGCAGTGGCATCCTTATGCGTCATGTTCCTTCTAGGAGGTGTCTTCGAAGAACCACTTACCTTGCCGTGTGGGTGAACCCAATCCGGTGTCCCCAAATGTGCGATGGTGGCATCTTTCATGTCATTCCCTTCCTGGAAGTGTCGCATTTGGAGACCTACACCTCATGGATGTTCATCCTTGCACACAGCTCAAATCCACCTTCGGTGATCAAACCCTTGATATTTGCACAAGTTACTAACCAGCAAATATCATTGTCAGTGTCCTTACTCCGCCATCATCCATGATCCTTGATTGCTTTGTCTGACCAAATGCCGGGTTAGCAGAACCATGATCTTCTCTTGGATCTCCTTGTTCTCCTATCGCCGACCCTCCCTCCTTTGAGGCTTCCTCCCCTCAATGGGCATCGGTGGGTGTCAATTGGATCCTAGATGTTCTTTAAAGACATTGTAAATCATGCCTGTTGTCGGCCACACTCGGCTCAAAGCTTGTCGCTTGTTGAATGGAGGTCGCCCAAATACAGTCACTTGATAGTGGTGTTAGTTGGTGAACAACGACATGCTTTTGTTATGGGAGTGTTTTTTATCCCCCCTTATGTGTGACAAATAAGCCTAGTGCTCGGCAGCACTTGTATCTTACTTTTTTGCATTTTACTTTTCTTGGCTTCGAAGCCTTTGTAATAGAAATATGCTCAACATCCACTTTAGTGGTTAGAAAAATATACTGGAGCAGGTAGAAAGTAGATCCTGCCATTTGCCCATAAAAGCAGGGGCACACCCTTGTACCAGGACAAGCCATTGCATTTCCTTTCAATTAAAGCGGCCAAGGGCTAAGCTATCCTCTAGTAGTTCCCAAAATTTGAATCTGAGATCTATTTTTGGCTAACAATTTGTATCTAGAGCCTAGGGTTCTTGAGTGAGTGAGCGCCATGTCCACCGCCAGCCATATCGAGAGAGCGCACGCCACCACCACCGGTGCAGTGATCAACCCCGGCGGTGACACAACAGGAGCCGAGCCAAAGATCACGCGACGCGCCTTGCTGCTATAGAGGTGGCATTCTTGTTGCGGCAGCAAATGAGATGGCCAGCAGGCAGCGCAGCAGCTCAAGCATGATGATGCTGCCATGCTGCGCATCTTCTTGTAAGATGGAGCAGAGGAGCCGGAGCGAACTGCGGGGAGGAGGGTCGCTATTGTTCGATTAGGCGCCCGCCGCCGCCACCAAATCAGCGGCGGCGTCGTGGTGTGTCGCCCATGGCGCTCCTCGGTGTTGCAGACTGTCTACCACGACTCCGGAGTGGGAACACCATGGCCGATGCTCACCAAGGCGAACTACCACGAGTGGAGCCTACTGATGAAGGTCAAGTTGTAGGCTTGGCGGTTGTGGGAGGCGGTACACGTCGGCGGCGTCAGCTACGACAACGACCGTCGGGCACTGGAGGCCCTGTGCGCCGCTGTCCCCACCGAGCTCGGCGCCTCCCTCGCCAACAAGACTACGGTGAAGCTAGCGTGGGAAGCGATCGCCGCGGCGCGCGTTGGCGTAGATCGCGTGCGCCGGGCGACGTTGCAACGCCTCTGAGGGGAGTGGGAAGGCCTCGCCTTTCAGCCAGGTGAGCAAGTCGAGGACTTTGCCCTTCGCCTGATAACCTGATGGAGCAGATGGCGCGCAACGGCGACACCGACCACACGGAGGAGCACGTGGTGGAGAAATTCCTCCGCTGCATGCCGAAGAAGTACGCGCAGATCGTCATGTCGATCGAGACGCCCCTCGACTTCGAGCAGCTCACCGTCGAGGACGTGACCGGGAGGCTCAAGGAGGTGCAAGACCACGAAGAGGGGCCTCACACCGAGCCGAGCGCCGCCGGAGGCAAGCTGTTGTACATGATGGAGCAGTGGCGCTCCTTCGAGAAGGAGGAGGAGGAAGGATCCGAACAATCCGACTCCTCCAAGGAGCATCGTCGGCGACCATGCGGTGTCGGAGGAGGAGAAGGGGCCCCAGGGTCAGGCAGGCACTGATGGCGGTGCCACCGGCGAGCGCAAGGCGACTCGGGATGACACCTGCAACAACTGTGGTAGGTTCGGCCACTGGGCCAAGGACTGCCGCCTTCCTCCATGCTGTGGTGGGCATGCTCACGTCGCGCAAGCAGGGAAAGAGGTTGATGCTCTGTTCCTGGTGCACGGGTGCGTCGAGCCACAGCAAGAAGCAGGGGAGGGGGTGAAAGGTCCAAGCTTTCCCCTTTCCATGTCGGCTGGCTCCGTACACCTCCACCTAGACGAACCGCGTGACCACGTCTTCCTCGGCGAAGGAGCAAACGATGACAAGATCAATGCCTGGTACCTTGACACTAGTGTCATGCACCACATGACTGGTCGACGCGAGTTCTTTTCCATCCTAGACTCCGGCGTGAAGGGCTCCGTCAAGTTCGGTGACGCCTCTGCCGTCGAGATCAAGGGAGTCGGCTTGATCATCTTCAAGGCCAAGACGGGGGAGCACCGCCTCCTCATCGGCGTGTACTACATCCCAGCCTTGAGGAACTCCACAACGTCGGACAGCTGGATGAGAATGGCTCTCGAGTGGAGATCGAGGACGGCGTGCTGCGTATCTGGGATACAAGCCGCCGTCTTCTTGCCAAGGTGAACCAGGGAAGCAACCGCCTTTATGTGCTTCATGTGCAGGTGGCGCACACCCTTTGCCTTGCCACGCGTGCTAGGATGATGAGGCGTGGCGCTGCGCGAGCTTTTCGGGCATCTTTGCTTCGAGGCCCTAAAATAGCTCGGCAAGGAGGAGATGGTCTACGGCATGCCTTGCATCGACCACGACGAGCATCTCTGCGACACCTGTGTGGTGACCAAGCTGAAGCGCCGGCCCTTCCCATGTCATGCCTCCTACCGCGCCACCGAGCAGCTTGAGCTGGTGCACGACGACCTCTGCGGTCCAGTGTCACCGGCCACTCTTAGAGGTCGACGCTACTTCCTATTGCTCATCGACGATGCCACCCGCTACTTGTGGGCTGTGCTGCTCGATTCCAAGGCGCCAGCTGCAGACGCCATTAAGCGCCATCAGGCAGCTGCGGAGAAGGAGTGTGGCCGCAAGCTCCGGGTGCTCTGCACGGACAACGGTGGCGAGTTCACGGCGGCCGAGTTCGCAGCGTACTGCGCCAAGTGGGGACCCAGCACCACTACTACGTGCCCTACTCACCATAGTAGAATGGCGTGGTCGAGCGCCGCAATCAGACGGTGGTGGCAGCGGCACACGCTCTCCTCAAGCATTGCGGCATGCCGGCAATCTACTAGGGTGAGGCCATGATGACTGCCGTATACCTGCTCAACCGCTCGCCGACCAGTGCACTCGATGGCAAGACGTCGTATAAGGCCTGGCAAGGGCGCAAGCCGGCGGTCAACTACCTACGTGTCTTCGGCTACCTCGCCTTCGTCAAGGAGCTGAAACACGTCGACAAGCTCGACGACCGTAGCTCGTCGGGGGTCTTCATCGACTACGTAGAAGGGTCTAAGGCCTACCGCGTGCTCGACTCGATGACACAGCGCATGCACGTGGCGCATGACGTCGTGTTCGATGAAGGACGCGGCTGGGCATGGGACAAGGCGATGGACGACGGGTCGGCGGCCGCGCTCCATGATTTCACCGTCGAGTATGCGTGGGTGGGAGGTGCTGAGGGAGCACAAGGTGCATCCTCATCGACGACTGGGTCTTAATCACCAGTGCTGACCTCTTCATCAGCTCTGCCACTCTTGCCATCACCAAATCTAGGGGAGCTCGAAAGCCCATCGGCGGTGGTCGGGAGCTCATCGGCAGTAGTGCCGACCTCTCCGGCGCATCAACCGACCTCTTTGGCACACCAGCCGACCTCCTCGGCATCTTCTACCTCGCCCGCTGCGACACCAGCGCACATAGGGAAACCGAGAGGTCGAGTACGTGACGCCACTGGAGGATGATGAAGACCGCCTGGACGCCTACTACGATGATGAGCCCCTCCGGTACTGCATGGTGGCGAACATCCTCAGAGAGCCGTCTCCTCCGGACCAGCCTGAGCGGCTCTTCGCCCAGCTACATCGGACGCACGTCGGTGAGCCGACCACTTATGCTGAAGCGCAGGGTCATATGGTGTGGCGGGCAGCGATGGAGCAGGAGCTCAAGTTCGTCGAGCAGAACCGCGCTTGGGAGCTGGTGCCACTGCCAGACGGCCACCGCTCCATCACCCTGAAGTGGGTGTTCACGCTCAAGAAAGACGAGATGGGCGCGGTGATCAAGCACAAGGCGCGGCTGGTAGCGCGTGGTTTCATCCAGCAAGAGGGGATCGACTACGACAACGCCTTTGCCCCCGTGCCGCGCATGGAGTCAGTCTTGTCCTCCTCGCGCTGACAGCTCAAGAGGGGTGGCAAGTCCACCACATGGACTTTCCTCAATGGTGATCTCAAGGAGGAGGTCTACATGCGCCAGCCACTTGGCTATGCCATCGCCGGAGAAGAGGGGAAGGTGTACCGCCTACGCAAGGCACTCTATGGCCTACGCCAGGCACCGCGCGCATGGAACGCGAAGCTCGACGCTCAAGAAGATGGGCTTCAAGCAGAGCGCGCATGAGGCGGCGGCGTACTGGCGGGGCAGCAGAGATGCAATGTTCTTTTGGTTGGCGTCTACGTCGACGACCTCATCATCACCGGCGCTGAAGAGCAGAAAGTGGAGGTGTTCAAGGCACAGATGAAGAAGGCATTCAACATGAGCGACCTCGGCCTCATCTGCTTCTACCTCGGCGTTGAACTGCGCCAAGACGCCAGCAGGATCGCCCTCCGCCGAACTCACTATGCCAAGCGCATCCTCGAGCTCAGCGGCATGACAGGCTGCAATCCGGCCCACACCCCGATGGAGGAGAAGCTCAAGCTGAGTCAGGAGAGCACGGCGGAGGTCGATCCAACCCATTGCCGGTGGCTGATCGAGAGCTTGCGCTACCTGGTCCACACCTGCGCCGGGACATCGCGTTCGCCGTCAAGTACATGAGCCAGTTCATGGAGCGGCCGACGATGGAGCATCTGCAGGCCGTCAAGCGTATCCTGAGCTACATGGCGGGCACCCTCGACTACGGTCTTCACTACGGAAGGGCCCCCGACACGACATGATTCGTCGGCTACTGCGACAGCGACCTCACTGGCGATGTGGACACCAGCAAGAGCACAACCGGGACGATGTTCTTCCTCGGTGATTGCTTGGTCAGCTGGCAGTCCCTCAAGCAGAAGGTTGTTGCCCTCTCAAACTATGAAACGGAGTACATCGCCACCACCACTACAGCAACTCAGGCACTGTGGCTGTCAAGAATGCTGGCAGAGCTTCTTGGCATGAAGGTGGATGTGGTTGAGCTAAAGGTGGACAGCAAGTCTGCTCCAGCTCTGCCCAAACCCTGTCTTTCATGAGAGAAGCAAGCACATCCACATCAAGTACCACTTCATCAGAGATTGCTTAGAAGATGGGAGCATCAAGGCCAGTCACATTGCCACTACTGATCAGCGGGCCAACATTCTCCCCAAGTTGCTGGGGAAGTCTAAGTTCCAAGAGATGAGGGAGAGGATTGGGCTACAGCAGATCGCTTCCAGTGCACGGCACAAGGCTTAGGGGGAGAATGACAAATAAGCCTAGTGCTCGGCAACACTTACATCTTACTTTTCTACATTTTACTTTCCTTGGCTTCCAAGGCTTTGTGATAGGAATATGCTCAGCATCCACTTTAGTGGTTAGAAAAATATGCTGGAGCAGGTAGAAAGTAGATGTTGCCCTCTGCCCATAAAAGCAGGGGCACACCATTGTATCAGGACAAGCCATTGTATTTCCTTTCAATCCAAGCAGCCAAGGGCCAAACTGCCTTCTGATAGTTCCCAAAATCTGAATGTGAGATCTATTTTGGGCCGACAATGTGTTGTGTGGTGTCGTCCTTCACTCTTTTGTGCGTGTTGTTGTTGGTGTTGTGCTGTCAGTGTACATACTCTGTTGTATCATTTTGACTGGTAATTTATGTTGCCACTCCAATGCAATATATTCAGGTGGGGAATTATTTTTTCCCCCGGGATCCCTTCAAAAAAATTAACCCAGGTGATTGTTTCTTGTTGAGTTGTTTTCATATATAGAGTTCATGCAATCCTCTGTGGACAATCCATAGGAAGTTGGCTAACCCTTTTAGGTGATATGAAGGCAAAAGCAGAAGCATTACCATGAGAGGACAGGGTCTTATCTAGAAGCTAATAGATAATTCAAATTGAAGTATTTCAGGAACTGGACAGAGGCCACTTTGCTAGTCTCCGAGGTTACACAGCCAGCGCATCTTAGTTCGAGCCCTGGTAGCCACTATTACCCATTAATTGCCTTCAATAAAGGCTAAGATGAGTTGAAACTAATAAAAAAATTGAAGTATTTTGGAAAGCATTTTTGTGTGCATATGTTATATGTTATGCTGGGATGGTAATGCAAGTGCTGTGCTGCATCGGGGTTCAGGTGCCATATTGGCGCAGCTGGAACTTGAGGTGGATTGGTGCAGCAAGGAACCCAAAATACTAAATAATTTCTCAAGCTAGTTTGATTAGGTTTGTTGGATTGCTTAACCGGTTAAACCTCACATAGGGTATCAAGCTTGTTTGCTAGAATAGATCGGCTCGAACTAAAAGACACTTAATAATGTCATATTTTTAAGAAACTAGGAAAGAAGTCAGAAGCCTCCTTTCATTTTTGATATAGTCATCTCTCTCTTTGGATAAGCTCACTCAAGCTAAAGTTTGTAGGGAAAACCCAATAGCAGCCAGGGAAACCTCAAAGTTAACTATTGTGCTCCCAGCATCAGGGGTGCAAGATAGATATATAAGTAAAAATTATGTTTTCAGACTTAACTTTAATGTATTATTATAGTTATAGTTCACAATTTTATTTTTAGCTCACTTTCATGTTACAGAGATAAGTTCTTTGTCAAAGTATATGCTGCGGCGTTCTATGTAGATTACTCACTTCGCATTGATACTGAGCAATGGAAAGAAAAGATTGGTATTGAGAGCTTTGACGGTTCCTCTGTTTTTTACTCCATTTTTAAGGGTAAGAGATAACTACCAATTCCAAAATTTAAGGAACCGTAGTATGTGCTAATGGGCCTGTTCGCTGGTTGGTGCTGGTGCTGGTTTGGGCTGGCTGATGCTGGTTTTTTGTGAGAGGAAAACACTATTGGCTGGTTGGTTTAGGCTGGCTGAAACCAACAAGCGAACAGGAAAATGTTACTAGTTTATTTTGCAGCACCAGTTGTGAAATCATTGAGTATAATTCTTGTTAGAGCCGTTGATGGCAAGACCTTTGTGAATGCTCTAAATGATGTCATTGCTCACCAAATAAAAAACCCAAATGCTGAGGAAGAATCTTCCCTGTCAACCTTGCAGAATACCTTTCTTGGGCGCAATCTCAAACAGGGAACAAGCATATACTTAACTTGGCTTGAACCCAAAAGAATGCTGGTGAGTCACTGTCAATTCTGTGAATATTATGAATCTTCGATGGTGTTTCATTCCTCAAAGTTGAATATTGACTGTATAAACTATTTAGAAATAACAAACAACTATCCCACAATGAATACACTTCCATCGTACAAGAATTAGCAATGCTTCTAGTTCTATTAGGACTTGATACCTCAAGGTTGGAGCTCACTTTTGTCTGTACTGTTACTTCTGTCAGATCGTTATCCAATGTGTAGCATTCCGTGATAATGAGTCTAATGCTGTCACCTCTAACATAGAAAATAGTGGAATTCAAACAGTAAATATGACAATAGCTGGTGGTTCTATTGGATAGGATTAAATGAAAATAACCTGCTAACTTCTTTCCGTCATGTAAATTTATCTACATTACCTGGCCGAATAAAAGCTGGCATGCATTGCTTGTAGTATAGAGAGACCAACAATTTAATAGTGCTTAGTTCACTAGTGGCACAAGAATTGACAACTTGTACAAGTCAGAAAAGCCAGACACATTGGCACCTTTTTTATCCAATGAAAAAAAGCAAATCTATATTTTAGTCTACTACTAGGATTCAAATCTTATTGGTTTTAACTGACTAGAGCAAACTTTTCTAAACTGTTGACCTTAAAGCTTAGTTGAGGTTTACAAAAAGCTTGAATTGCAACAAAGATTAACAGTAAAGCTGGAATTCTGTTTGTTCGTCAGATTTCCTTTTAATCTACTGATGGATTTATTCAATTTTTGTAGTTTTTGAATATTTGACATTAAATTATATTTTTGTTAGCTACTGAAAAAATGATCATTGCATTCTGAAAAACTGTAACAACTCAAGTTTGTGAATAAATAAAAGTATGAAAAAGGGGACTTGTAGATATTTATGTAGAGAGTGAGCTCAATTTGAATGTTGTTAACTTTTATTTATGTAGATCTTGTTGGATAATCTACTGTTTCCTTGTGTGAACACACAGCAAGGGAAGGCGGCGTCAAAATGGCCCCCTGCTGTGATACTGTAGCCGCTGCAGAGGCAGGCGTCGAACGGCTCACCTGCCACACTGTAGCCACGTGCAGGGGCAGATGCCATTGTCAGCCCTGCTGTGTTATCTAGTAACTGTAGCAGCATGACAGCTGTACTAGGACTAGATGGGTATAGTTGTATATATAGTTTGTCACTGCAACTCAACAAAGAGAGTTCAGATTTGCCATCTCCTATACAGGGCTCCGGCCAATGCTGGTGTCTCTGCCGTGTGTGTATGATCTGTTCTCCCTCTTCTTCGACCTCTGATCATAGTGTGTGGTCGGACAGCATCTGTCGTGTTCGGTCGTGGTCGGCAAAACTGGTGAGTGGTCGACTCACCTGAGCCGGTGATCCTGTGGGCTAGCAAGTGGTATCAGAGTCGTACAAGCGTCGTCGCCGGACTAACCACTGGCGATGACGAACGGTTCGGAGATGGGCGATAGCAGTGGCACTGCTGTGGCTGCCCAACCACGATAGGAGGTCGTTGTTCGCACGGTGCGGGAGGTCAGCGGCACCAGTTGGCCGACGCTGACTCGCACCAACTATGGAGAGTGGTCGGTGACCATGAAAGTCAAGCTCAGAGCCCGACGGCTCTGGAATGATGTTGACAAGGGCACCAACAATGAGAAAGATGACATGTCAGCATTGGAGTCTATCCTCGCTGCTGTACCGGCGGAGTACAGAGAGCCGTTGGGGGTAAAGAGCTCTGCTAAGGAGGCATGGGAGGCTATTACGGCGATGCACGTCGGTTCCGACCGCGTAAAGAAGGCGACGACCCAGCTTCTGAAGCAGGAGTACGCCAACCCCAAGTTCAAGAATGGTGAAACGGTGGAGGACTTCTCCCTCCGCCTGTAGACGCTCATCAACAAGCTGAAGAGCCACGGCGTCACCATCGATGAAGAGGAGGCGGTCTCCAAGTACCTTCACTCCATGCCGGCAAAGTACATTCAGATTGCTCTCTCCATAGAGATGATGCTGAACTTGTCCACCCTCACCATTGAGGATGTGACAGTCCGTCTACGAGCGGTGGACGAGCGCCTAGAGCAGGCGACAGCAACGAAGGACAGCGACAAACTGCTGCTGACAGAGGAGGAGTGGGCTGCTCGGAGGAACTCTGGGAAGGTAGCCTCCTCCAGCCACGGTGGCGATGGCAAGCGTCGCGGCAAGGCTTCTTCGGAGAAGAAGAAGCAGGTTGACCCCAATGCCTGCCGTGCTGTGGGAAGACGGGCCATTGGGCACGGAAGTGCCCAAATCGCAAGCAGGAGAAGAAGGTTAAGGCTCATCTGGCGCAAGCTAATGATGATGATGAGGCCACTATCCTGATGGCGACGTTCTGTGCACTGCACGACATCGAGGCCGAGGAGAAGAAAGAGGTGACGACGGTCGAAGGACCTAGGAAGGCCTTGAAGGCTGTCAACCTCGATGAACCGCACGCCCAAGTCCACCTCGGACGTGTGGACGTCGACCAGGAGCAGCGGTGGTATCTGGACTCTGGTGCCAGCAACCACATGATGGGCTTCAAGGCAGCCTTCTCCGAGCTCGACGACGATGTTACCGGTACAGTGAAGTTTGGTGATGGCTCAAGGGTGGCAATCCAAGGGCGCGATACCATCATCTTCAGGTGTCAGAACGGGGAGCACCGCGTGCTAACGGATGTATATTACATCCCGCAGCTGTGTTCGAGCATCATCAACATTGGTCAGCTGGATGAGTGCGATAGCGAGGTACTGATCAAGGACGAAGTCCTCAGGATCAGAGACCGGGAGCAGCGACTTCTCTCCAAGGTGAAGAGGTCACAGAACCGGTTGTACCTGCTTGACCTGAAGGTAGAGCAGTTGGTGTGCCTGGCGGCATGGCACACCGAGGAACCATGGCTGTGGCATGCCCGATTTGGACATCTCAGCTTCGACGCGCTTGGTCGGCTAGAGAAGATGGTCTGAGGGCTACCCCACATCAAGCATGGAGGCGAGCTATGTGACAGCTGCCTGGCCGGAAACCAGAGGAGGCTATCGTTCCTAAAGGCGACCAAGTATCGGGCGAAGGACGCTCTTGAGCTCGTCCATGGTGACCTCTGCAGGTCGATCACACTAGCCATAAACGGTGGTCGGCGGTACTGATGAGGACATGACACCCATGCATATGACCATGTTTGGCATATGGTATGGAGGGGAAGGAGGCCAGCAAGGGTGTCCAAGTCAAGAAGGAGGCCGAGGCTAATTCGGTTCGAGTCCCCGAGGTGGAGGCCCAAAGCAACTCAAGTTCGAGTCTGCCTCGGCTTCCAGGACCAGTCTGCTTTAAACTGGTCACCCAGGACGCATCCGGACTCCGTTCTTGATGATCCACATATGGTTGGAAAGCTAATTTGATAAGGAAGCCAATTCAAGTGGTTTCACGTCAAAAGCCCTTCAGAATCAACGGGAATCGTCGAAACAAATTAGCGTCCAGAATCTACAAGGGTGCTGCGACACCGTCTTTTGGTCCGTTGGACCGTGTATCGTGTTTGGGCCCATTAGGGGGCGCGTCCAGGGTAGGCGACGACCCTAAGACCTTTATAATCATACGCCGCCGTCGTCATTAGGTTTTGGGTTTTGCTTAGATTATTCTGTCAAGAACAGTTTCGTCGTTCATCGGTTTGTGAGACCCCAACTTTGAGAGATTAATCATTCATCTGCAATTTGGTTATGTTCTTTTTTGTTCTTGCTTGTGTTCTTCGTTGCGCAGGGAGATTAGCCTTCTTGGTGAGGTCAACCTAGTCCGTGACTCGGTTGATAACCAGAGGAGCTGTGGTGCTAAGATTGCAGGGTTCGGTCTTTTGATCTGAAACCGGATCGGTGTGTCATCCTCCTGCTCGTGGAAGATTGCAGTCGCTACATGTGGCTGCAACTCCTGATGAGCAAGGACCAAGTGGCGGCGACGATCAAGAAGTTCAAGATACGCGCGGAGGCCGAGAGCGGCAAGAAGCTCCGCGTGTTGAGGACTGATCGCGGTGGCGAATTCACTTCAGTAGAGTTCGTTGCGTACTGCGTGGATCAGGGTGTGGTGCGACACCACACCACGCCATACTTGCCACAACGGAATGGCATGGTGGAGAGGCAGAACGAGATGGTGGTAGGCATGGCTCGATCTATGATGAAGGCCAAAGGCATGCTGGCAAGGTTCTAGGGTGAGGCGGTGACCACGACGGTGTTCTTCCTCAACCGCGCTCCGACTAAGGCCCTAATGGGTAAGACACCGTTCGAAGCTTGGTATGGGTGCAAGCCGAGCATGTCCTTCCTCCAGACATTCGGCTGCATCGGCCACGTCAGGAAGACGAAGCCGATCCTCACCAAGCTAGAGGACAAGAGCACACCAATGGTGTTCCTGGGCTACGCGAAGGGTACCAAGGTGTACTGGCTCTACGACCCATGCGAAGACAAGGTGCTTGTCTCGCGCGATGTCGTGTTCGACGAGAAGGCGGCTTGGGACTAGAATAGTTCGAGCACTGGGGAAGCTGGTGGCTTCACTAGCACCTTCGTCGTTGAGCACTTGGTCATCCACGGTGGTGGAGATGCTGGGGAAGAGGTGTCGAGCACTCCGGGAGGGGTGCCGAGCACTCCAGCAACAGAGCCGAGCACTCCTGGGGCGGTGCCGAGCACTCAGTGAGGAGTGCCGAGCACACCAGGAGTGGTGTCGGGAGGTTCTGCAGTGGTGGCAACCACTCCAGGACGGGTGCCGAGCACTCCCGTAGCGGAGCCAAGAGGTCTTGCAGTGGTGCCGACCACTCCAAGACTGAGGCTGAGCACTCCTACAGTGGTGTCGAGCACTGCAGGACTAGTGACGAGCTGTCCAGGAGTAGTGCCAAGCACTGCAACCAGGGTGCCGAGCACTCCGATGGAACAGGGAACTCCATCAGCACTGATCGAGTTCGCCTCACCTCCAAGTGACATCACTGAGTTCATGGATGCCTTCCACGAAGGTGAGGAGGTGCGGTTCCGCAGGCTGGATGACATCGTCGGTGGCACAGGGCCCTCAGGCCTGACGGGTAGGCTGCTCAATGACCCAGAGCTGCTACTCGTTAGTGCAGAGGAACCACCCACATTCGCGCTGGCCGAGCGTGATGGAAACTGGCGACGGGCGATGCTGGAGGAGATGAAGGCGATCGAGGAAAACGAGACTTGGGAGCTCATCGATCCACCTCCAGGGTGCCGTCCGATCAGCTTGAAGTGGGTGTACAAGGTCAAGCGGGACGAGCTCGGCGCCATTGTCAAGCACAAGGCGCGCCTCGTCGCCCGAGGCTTTGTTCAACGTGAGGGCATCGACTTTGAGGAAGTCTTTACGCCAGTAGCGCGCATGGAGTCTGTTCGTTTGCTACTAGCCTTGGCAGCAGCAAAGGGTTGGCGCGTTCATCACTTGGACGTTGAATCGGCCTTCCTCAACGGCTAGCTGGCGGAGATGGCCTTCATCAGGCAACCTCCAGGTTTCGCCGTCAATGGAGCAGAGCACAGGGTGCTCCGACTGCGCAAGGTGCTCTACGGGCTGTGGCAGGCCCCACGAGCATGGAATGCCAAGCTTGACGCCACGTTGGGCGAGCTTGGGTTCCAGCGGTGCGCAACCGAGCACGCGCTCTACACGCGGCGATGGGGGAAGGAGGAGCTCGTCGTTGGCGTGTATGTGGACGACTTGATCGTCACCGACACGCGCACGGAGGATATCAACAGCTTCAAGCGTGAAATGGCGGCTCATTTTTGAATGAGCGATCTCGGCATACTCTCCTACTACCTCGGCATCGAGGTGAGACAAGGGGAAGAGGAACTCACGCTCGGTCAAAGCGCATATGCCTCGAAGCTGTTGGAGCGGAGCGGCATGGCTGAGTGTAAGCCTTGCGTGACTCCGATGGAGGAGCGGCTGGAGCTGACGAAGGTGGATGTAACACTCTAACAGAGCATCGTCGGCGGTCTGTGCTACCTAGTCCACACGAGGCCGGACATTGCGTTCGCCGTGGGTTACGTCAGTCGCTTCATGGAGGATCCCAGAAAGGATCACTGGGCTGCGGTGAAGCGGCTACTGCGCTACATCAAGGGGACGGTGGATCAGGGGATCATCTTCCCCAAGACCGGTGGGAGTAGGCTGCAGCTCACTGTGTTTAGCGATGCAGACATGGCGGGGGACATCGACGGATGATGGAGCACCTCTAGCGTGCTCATCTTTCTCGGGTTGGCTCCAATTTCATGGTTGTCGCTGAAACAGAAGGTGGTGGCACTATCTACGTGCGAGGCAGAGTACGTAGTGGCGACCACAGCGGCGTGCCAAGTTGTGTGGCTGCGCCGGCTGCTAGACGAGCTAACCGGTACGGAACCTCACCCACCAGCACTGATGGTGGACAACTAGCCCGCCATCGCCCTCACGAAGAATCTGGTTCTCCACGACCGGAGCAAGCACATCGACGTGAACTTCCACTTCTTCAGGGACTGTGTCGATGGAGGACAGATCGTCATCGAGTTCGTCAAAACTGGTCGGCAACTCGCGGATGTCCTCACCAAGCCGCTCGGACGTCTTCGACTCATGGAGCTAAAGGAGATGGTCGGCATGGAGGGATATAAGGGTTAGCAGTAGGATTAGGAGAAAAATTGTTAGATAATCTACTACTTTCTTGTGTGAACACACAACAAGAGAAAGCGCAAATGGCCCCCGCTGTGGTATCAGCTTCACTGCAGAGGCAAAGGCGTCAGCGGCTCACCCGCGCTCAAAGCCACATGCATGGCATAGCCCAGCTCAGTCACTCCACTCTGAGTTATCTAGTAATCTCAGAAGCAGCATGACACCGCACTAGAACTAGATGGGTAGAATTGTATATATAGTTTGCCACTGCAACTCAACAAAGAGAGTTCAGATTTGCCATTTCCTATACAGGACTCCGGCCAACGCTGGTGTCTCTGCCGTGTGTATGCTATGTTCTCCCTCTTCTTCTACCTCGGACCATAGTGTGTGGTCGGATAGCGTCTATCGTGTTCGGCCGTAGTCGGCAAGGCTGGGTGAGTATCTATAACGAGCCGGCTCGGCTTGTTTGGGCTCGGCTCGCTCGCTCTTAAGAGATACGAGCTAGCTCGCTCGTATATCCTAACGAGCTAGAAAGCCACTCGGCTCGGCTCAACTCAACAAAAGAGAGCCGTATAAAAATACACAAAATATAATATTTGCATTTTTTAAAGTTTGAGAATAAAAAAATACAAAAGAAATGCATCTAGACCAGCCATCAGTCAATTTATAGGGTCTAGACCAATTACTACCAATTGTAAAGTGTAAGACTAATACAAAAACTAATACTCCCTTTGATACTTTTTTCTAAAACTTGGATTTGCATAGTGAAGTGTCATGAAGTGATTAGTCGCTATAGCTAACGAGTCTGTTGACTCGGCTCGTTATCATAACGGCCGTGAGTCGGCAAGGAGCGGCTGAGTGATTTTTCGGACTCACCGGGTGAGTGATGGACTCACCGGAGCCGGTGATGTGGGCTAACAGATCTCCATTTCCGAAAATCAAGATCCACGTCAAGTTGATGCAGAGATCGAATCTGCTACTGTTAATTATGCTCTATACGATGGCTTCTTTGGTAAATCCCCAGTGTCTCCTTTGAGATCATCAACAGCCCAATTGCTGGAAAGCGCTTCTGCTTTAGAAGTGACAATTCCAGTTGTGGTTCCAGCAATGGTTGCTAGGAGTGGTTATTTCCCTTCATTCTCTCTTTTTTCCCGAGGGAACACAAGACGTGCTGGGGTTGTCCATGATCATAGTTCCCATAAAGGAAATTAATTTAATTATTGTAGAGTTCATATGTAACATTTTTGTCATCCTGATGAAATATGGTGAATTGTCACGCCCTTGTGTTGATATTATGCTTGGCGGATTGCTTTACATTTCCATCATTCAACTTGCCTAGCCCAACTTGCTCAGTGGAAATGGATTTTTCAGGGGCAGTAGAAACTATTGACTGCCCTTGGAAATTGATTTTCAGGGGCAGTTAATGTTGTGAACAACACCTGAAAAATGATTCACATTTTTGAAAGTTTCACGGCAATTTTGAAAGATCTCATTTCCTGTCAATTTCATCAAATTCAATCCATGCCACATGTATGATACCAATATAGTATAAACCTAGTGACATATTGTATATTTAGTAATTTAGTCGGAATCATCACGATTATTTCATGTACGTCAACATCTAACATTTCAATTGATGAACATACATATGCACCACATTGTACATCAATTTTAATTAACATTTGTCACTGTAACTTTTCTCACTCACAAAGAAGTCGCAGTCTTTGCTCTTTCTTTGCTAATGTGCAATTAACATTGAAGAAAATGGAATTGCAATGAATAAGACGTGTAGGATGAACTGATGATGCCTAGAATGTCGCTCCGTTGAGGTGGCAAGCCATTTTAGGAATCGACATGATTGCAATTTCTACGCCTCACAATCAATATCGAAGGGCCACATGGGCGCATGGGCCAGGTTGGTGGGCTGGCGAGGGGCGGGGCGCACGTGGGTGCTGCAACTGCGGTTTTCACCGTCAGGTCTTATAGATTTCAACGCTGTTTTTTCTCCGAATCGACGGTGCGGCGGTGATATATTATCACCACGGTTTTAATAATACCGTCAGGTGAAAATCCCGTTAGTAAAAACAATTTATGTAGCAGTGATTGAGTGTTATCCGTTGCTCATGCCGTGCTCTGTCTGATAGCCCCCTTCCGTGCTCAAAAGTTCACTTGTTAGTAGTGTGTTCCTTCGTATGCGTACCATTACATACATTATTCTATAGGGTGTTGGAAAGAACTGCTTCTGTTTTGGTCAACTTAATATTTTTGTAATTTGCGTGGCCGGTAATTGTAACTTCATTTCTTATTGTTAGTATCATAGATCTGCTTTAGTTAGGATATAGGATCAAGCTTCTCCTAGTATCCCATCAATTTACATATTACCTATATTTACATATTCAGCTTTCCGTTGTTGGCCGTCACTATGAAGAGCCTAGAAAAAGAGTAGGACGGACGTCATGCTACTTGTAGCACCGTAGAGAAGACGTTGTAACGGCACACCGGGCATGTCGAGTGGTCGCGCAGCCACATGTCAATGCACTGCTTGTGGAACATGTGCAGGCACCCCGGCAGCCGCTTCACCATTTCCCCCTTCTCCACCTCGCCTAGACACACCGCGCACTCCGACGGGCCGTCCGGCCGCTTCACGTCCTCCTGCTCGTACGACGGGATGTCGTCCATGGCGACCACCCGCGCCCCACCCCGCACTGGCGGCTCCCGCGCAAGCACGTAGATGGCAGCATGGCCTTCTTGTCGTCGTCCTTGCACCACGAACCGTGGCAAAGAACCAGAGGCAGCAGAAGCGCCGCCTCTGCCTCCGCTGCTCCGGTGCCGCAGCAGCCGGGCTCTCGCCGTGCGCGCGCACCGGCACGGCAGGCAGAGCAGCCAGGCGAGGCCGCGCAGAGGCGAGCGCAGGAACCGCCCCAGCGCGGACCACGGGAAGAGCGCGCCGCAGAAGGCAGGGTAGACGCAGGCGCTGATGCTGACCCAGACGACCAAGAAGATGGAGAGCGTGACCATGTCGCTCGTGCTGTGGGGCTTCCGCGCGCGCCGGACGAGCGAGTTGATGAGGAGGGCCGTGCCGCCGATGCACACCGCGTTGGCGATGGCCAGCCCGAACAAGCGGACGAAGCAATCCATGGCTCTACAGTCTACACGGGAGATGCTAGCTGAAGCTGAACAATTGCAGCTATAGAGCGTGTGCGTGACAGGACGATAAGGGAGGTGGGCTCAAAGTATCTTACCGGAATTTCCGAGTTCCTTACTCTCCGTGTGCTCGCGAAATGACCATATGTATGTTGAAAGAGATGGGCTAGACTTGAAACCGTGTCGTTTCTCCAAGTCAACTGCTTGGTTCGTGGAGGCGGAAACAACCACAGAGAGCGAACGAACAAAACACTTGACCTTCGATATTCTGTGTTGACTCGATTATTAGCGAGTCATTTTATATAGTCCCTCATCCAACAGATTGGTTTGCATCGGTTTCAATTTTAAGAACTATCACCACGTCGATTTTCAATTTATCTTTCACAGTCACCGTAGTAAATCGAGGAAATGGAAAAAAAAAACTCGATCCTGCAACCCAATTGAGTCTTTTGCCGGCCATATGGTCTGGATTTGGGATTGTTGCACGCTATCACTATTCCAGAACAGGCAATCACTGTTGGTTGCCTTAGAATCAGCGTTGATATGTAGTTTATAACTACCGTTTTGTGACTTCAACCGGCACTGATAGCACAGACAGTGATAAGTGGACTATCACTGTTGGTTCATAGCTTCGATCGGCAGAAAGTCATAACTTTTTTATATAAGGCCATATTAAAATAAATTTTATTTCAAAATTGTAAAGTTCATATCTAACACTTTGTAGTTGATAATTTTTTAATTCGAGAGAGCGTGAACATTGAGGTCTTAAATTTGAATCCTAGAAACGCATATTTGCGCAATTTCAATTGTAACAACATAAGATCTTCCAAAGGCCTCGATATGAAATGTGTTGCTCTTAGTTTTGCTTTAATTTTATAGCCGTAGGTACTGTGTACATCATGTTTCATAAGGATGAAATCTAACTCTTCTCTCAGTTTTATAAATTTCATTGTGTTTTATTTTCTAATTAATAATGAGATCAAAACCCCACACGAGAATGTCTTTTTATCTCTGTTTCCACTTTCTTCCACCTATAGGATGCGACTACCTGTGGCTTCCACGACTGGAACGGATTAGTCGTGGCCGCGTCCTTCTGTTATATTGGGCTGCGCCATCGTTAGTGGGCTACCGCTTGTGTTTGGGCCAAACCAAGGGCACACGGCCACTGGAGAATTGGACAATTTCATTGACGTAGTCACGTAGCAGCTAAATTTAACGGCTCTCTCTCAGACGCACATGTAAAAGGCAAAATTTAATAGAGATGAGAAAAAAATAGCGACGTCATCTTTCCAGTAAAATTTTTAAAAACATAGCTTCCAAATTGAGTATCCAAGTTAAATTTCAATTGCACTATTTTTTTTCTTGTAATAAAATCTTTTGAAAAAAAGGCCCTACTAAAATATACATGGATGACATTTTCTAAAGAATAATTTTGTTTTTTCTTTAGAGGAAGATGTTCTAGGTCGAAAGGAAAATATGTCTTATGTTTCGGAGAAAAAAGTGTTGTAGCTTCACAAGGAAATTGTCTTATCTTAAAAAGAAATGTTCTAGCATAAATGAAAAGCTTCATAAAAAATTCTTAGCTTATAATTAACTAAAATGTTAATAGCTTCACAAGAACTATGGTCTAAGCATTAAAATAAAAATTTTCTATCAAGAGTGAATAAATGTTTTGTGTTTATCACAAAAAGTGTTCTGGCTTAATAAAATAATAATGTTCCAGCTTCATAGGAAAAAATATTTCTAACTCAAAGAAAAATGTTCTAGCTTTTAGTAACAAATGTTTCGACCATGAAACAAAATATTCGTCATATTAGATGCAAAGAACAAATAAGGAAACAAGAAATAATAAATAAATTAACTAGAAATCAAATGAAAACAGACTAGTACAGTGAAGGAATATTCAGTTCCTGCTAGGCTCTCGGCTGTGTGGAGGGCACAGGCTGGCGTCTGCCGGGTGACGATGACGACCGGCGGCTAGTCGACAGACGGCGCAACCGGCAGTCTGCTGGTACAGTCACACTCGCACAGATCGCACCTGCACATGTGCCGCCGTGGATAGGCTCGCGAATCGGTGGTCGCGGCGTTGACGGATTCATCTTTCACGCTTCGTGTTGCGGGGACGTGCGGATAGGCAACAGGGCATTGACGTGCTGCAGATTTTGGTAAAGCACGTCGGCTGGAATACACACTGGTTGGCCCCCACAATAAACCGTTGTCTTAGCACAAGTGGTCGAGTGTCATCTACTGATCTTCTTTCTTCAGACGCGCTGTGATTGTGAAACAGAGGTTCCAATCAGCAATGGTGGACGTCAGCCACTCAGCCGGGGATTCGAGGGGTATCCATGCTGGAGCTGAGGTACGGCAAGCGCCATATCTTACTATACCGAGTCCTTCGTGCAGTATTATGTATTTAGGAAGAATCTAAACAGATGAGAGAGATAGTGAGTCCTTCGTGCAGTGTGTGGGTGTGTTTGGACCGGTTACAATCGGATCGTAGGCGAAGACAACCGAGAATCCCATTTAAACGTCCTTTAGATTGTCTAGAAATCGAGCGGTCAAAACAGTCATAATTGAGTTGGGAGCCGCGTTTTCTGTACCGCAGCCTTCCACTCGCGTTTTCCCATACGTCGGATGGATACGCGCATCCGGACGTCCATGCGTGCTGCTGCGCCGCGCGCGTCCTCCAGCTTCTGCTGCGTCCCATGCCTCCTCCTCCTCCCTGTTGCTTCTGCCCGGGAGAGCATGTGCGTGGGCTTGCCCAGCTGCATACGAGATAGAGGGAACATAGCGCGTGTACCCCGATAAGAGAGAGAGAGAGTAGCGTGCATGTCCCAATGCGAGAGAGATCCCAATTGCATGATAGAGAGATAAGGATCACAGCACGCGTACCTCAACGCAAGAGAGAGAGCAGTGCACGTGCCCCAATGCGGGAGAGAGGGAGGGAGCACAACGCGCATGCACATGTGTCGAGTCGATTGCATGCTCCACCGTGGGGGGCCACGCCTAGTGGTGCAGGTGCACCAAGTGCAACGCGTGCTTGCCCACGAGTCAGAGCGCGTGAGAGAGCAGCACCTATTGTAACATACTAAAATAAGGTGAAACAATTGAAACATATGTTTACAACATATATGTATAACCACAGTAACATATGCAACATCACATAACAACTCTTACAACGTACGTCTGAAATAGGTAAAACATTTGGAATGTACACTTGCAATATACGCGTATAGCCACTGCAACATATGCAACATCCAGATAAAACAGCTAAAACATTTAGAAAACACACTTGAAACATACATCTATAGCCATTGCAATATATGCAAACATCTAGATAAAACATATACAACATCCAAAATAAAACATATGAAACATACATCCTAAACACATACTCCAGGCGCGGAGCTCGATGCCCATGGTCACCGATCACGGGAGCAGTGAATGGCTCGTACAGATGCAGGCCCATCTCCTCTCACGAACTGTCAGGGCTATTCACTCTCTCTCGTCACCATGCACTCTCTAGTCACACCGCGCCATATGCATCCCACTCTGAGCGAGTGACCCACGGAAAGGACGAGTGTGGTCCCTGACTGCAGCCACGCTTGCCTCTTTTTTTCTTGTTTATCACACCGTGCGGGTCGGGTCCGGACGCACGTCTTCGACCAAGCATTACTGATTCACCGCCGCCGCTGCGCTAGACCGCTCCTCTTGTCCGCTTTCCCACTGGCCCCGTGCGCACTCGTCTCGGTTGCTCCCCTGTCGCCCCGGCGGGCTCAGTTAGAGGCGACGCGATCCCCATCCGGCGTCCGCTTCCCTGCCGCCCTGCACTGGGCTCAGTTGGAGCTGCCCAGCTCCCCGCTCCGTCGCTCAGGCTCAGTCAGAGGCAGCGTGATCCCCGTATTCCCCGCTGCTCCGCTCTAGACTCGGTTAGAACTACTCTTCTCCCCGCTCCCTTCACTTGACTGAACAACACAGAGAGAAAGGCATGGGAGTTAGGATGGAATATCTCGAGCGGTAGAAGATGGACGAGGAAAGTCAATGGCAACGGAGGGTGGACTAAGAGGAAAAAGGGCACATGTGTCCTTTTACACTCCCGATTGCCATATAATTAGGATTGCTAAATATCTCTGATTCTCTACACAAGAGATTTGTTAGACCGCAGTTTATAAAAAATCATGATTAGATTAAAATCCATTCTGATAGTCCCAATCAAGGCCTATGTATTTAGTTTAGAATCTAAACAGAGGAGAGAGTGCGCTCACAAAGATGAGATTTACAAGGATAAGCTATTCTGGCGTCCCTCACATTTATGCATGAATTTCTTACGCATTGTCTCTTAAAGTTACTAGCTCATGCATGAACATATTTTGATGGACTAGTAGTATCAGACCCTTTAATGTGCTGGCTACATGTACAGAGGAAAACAATATTCAGCTACTACAGTTTTTTCTTGTGAAACCCTGTACAGACAAGATACTTATATACATGAGCACACACTCATATCTATGAACGCATAAACTCTTTTCTATGAGCATCTCCGAAAAACTGAATTAGACTTATAAATCAAGATAAATCCAAAAAAATACGAGCATCCGTGTCAAAGTCAAGAACTGAGCCTGGATGAAAAGGTTCTACCACAAATCCAACCAGATGCTTATAGTTTGCAGTTGCTGGTTGTGCTCGGCTGAACTACTTGCGGCTGCAGCTACAACAACCGCTAGTCTAATTCAGTGTAGCACTGATTTTTGACAGTTGCAATCGCAGCCATAAATAGCGCAATCTAGCAGACCGACTACACTTTCCTTGGTTCTAGCAAAATCCAACTACTGGCCCCATTTGATACAGCTCGGTTTTATTAACCAAGTTTTTTTTTATTCAGCTCAATGAGCAGTTCTATCGGTTAAACTAAAGCTATTTTATAGATTCGTTTAGTAAAATAGTTTTACATGATACACAAAAAGAATAAAATAACTATAATACCTTTTGCTATTCTTATTATCATCTATTTTATTCCTCATGTCCATCCCCATGCTTCTTTTTCTTCCCGAAGCTATTCTTCTTCCCGATGTTCTTGCGCACGCACCCGACGACCGTGCACCAGGAGCTCCAGCGGCCCTCCTCCTGTCGCCCATGAACCAAGGCAGTTGTGCCCGCCTGGCGCTGGCGGCCCACACTCGCGCCCTGCAATTCAAGTTTTCAGTCTTTCCCGTTGGAGAAAAGGACGAGAAAAATGTCATGCTATACTAATACTACTTAGCTCGGCAGTGGCAGTGAAGTGAAGACGTTGCACCGGCAGACCGGACACGTCGGGTGGTGGTGCAGCCACTGGTCGATGCACTGCTGGTGGAACACGTGCAAGCACACCGGCAGCCTCTTCACCATCTCCCCCTTCTCGATCCCTCCTAGGCACACCGGGCACTCTGCCGACGTGCCGTCCGGCACCGCGCCGGCCTGCTGCTCGTACGCGTACGCAGCAGGTATGTTGCCGGCAGCAACAACTCTACCAGGTCCGCCAGGAAGCTGCGGCGCCTCCCTAGGAAACACGTTCCTGACCTGGCCCTGTCTCTGCACCACAATCTCCGGCAAATCAAAGCCACTATCGCCGTCGTCGCCAGCGGCGCTCCAGGCCCGGCGTATGCGCCCGCACGGCAGGCAGAGCAGCACACCCACGCCACGCAGGCAACGCCCTAGACTGGACCACGGGAAGAACGTGACGCAGAAGACGGGGTAGATGCTGGCGTTGACGCAGACAAGTAGCATGATGATGACGTGAGGTGCCTTCATGCCCCGGACGAGCGTGTAGACGACGAAGGCAGTGCCGCCGATGCCCACCGTGTTGATGAAAACCAGTATCACTACGCGGCAGGAGCAGCCGAAGCACGCCATGTCTCTGCGGCACGCGGTGTGTGGCTCACCTTGCAGCGGTTGACCTTGGTGCCCGGAATGCTTATCAATTACCCGCTCCCCCTTGATACACACAGCGAGTGCTGGAGTGACTGGATTAAAGATGATAGAATTTCATTGTTGTCTTCGCCCGCGAAATGGTACAAGAGAGGTCCTAGTCCAAAGCTTTTTGTACTTTTGCCAACAATAAAAATTCTCACTAATAATAGTGTAGCTCACCTTGTTCGGTTGTGGTTTGTTAATCCTGGTTCAAATCTTTAACTTGATTTGGGTGATCATATTGTTCTGGATTTATTATAGATTTACTGGTGTTATTCTTTTAGTGTTGTGCACTTTGTCAATTAATCTCACGTTAAATTTATTTTAAAATTTATGGTTTTAATGACGTTATTCTTTTAGTGATAGATGATCACTACTACAGCTGGGCTTTTCAGAGGTGGTTGACTTTTTCTATTCTGTTTCTACGAAATCAGCGATTTGTAGAGGCGGTTCTTCAGTCGCCTCTAAATATTGGATTTCCAGAGGCGGCTGAAAATAGAAGTCACCTCTAGATATCAATTTGTAGAAGCATTTGCATTTTGAGCCGCCTCTACAAATCTTTGTCCAAAAATTATTACAAATTTAGACAAAAAATAGGAAAAAGCCAAAAAATAGCAATTTTTTTAACCTCTTGAGACCATACTAGGCACCACTAGGATCTACAAAGTTGCATAACTTTTCAGTGTTGTCAACTACAAAGTTGCATAACTCTTTGAGATCTTGAATTTTCGTTTTGCTTGTTTCTCTATCCGAGATCATTGGAAAAATTCAAATTTATTGTGCAGCTCCTATTTTTAAAGGCGGCGGGAAATTTAGAGGTGGTCGAAAACAGAGCTGCCTCTAGAAATCGATTTCTAGAGGTAGCTGGAAACAACAACCGCCTTTACAAATGCAATTCTAAAGGAGCATGCCACCTCTTAGGCGCTTTTTTCGAAGAACCAGTAGCAAGAGCATGCCGGGTATGTATTAATAGAGAAGTTTTACAAAAATTAATAAAATGACAAAGCAAAACCTCACGTAGGAGGCAACAGCAAAAACAACCGCTGCAAGAGACACAAAACCAACGATCCTCAGAAGCATCAGCTGTCAAATGTCACTCTGCACGCCAAGGAGGCAAGCGATGTAAGCTAGAAGAGGGAGTAGGTTTCCACGGCGATGCCTCCAAGGGAGAGAACGACATCCAAAGATGCCGTCAACGTCGAATGGGGAACCAAGGTTTTTCAACCTAACTCCTAAAGGGTAGGCAGGGGCCTCACAACAATACCTCCAACAAGGGACGTGCCACCAAAGGCGTCACCATTGTCGGCCAAAGCCAAGGGCCTAGCAAGGCCTTCGCCCGACAACCTAGACACCCAAACACAAACCAGCCACATCGTGGATGACCACAGCCAACAGCCGCCAGCAGGTGATTGATGTGGCTCCGACGAGGTCACAGGCATGCGTGACATGTCACCGCCGCCATCCTACATGACACTGACCACCGTGGAAAGCCACATCTTGTTCCTGCAACATGGAAAGAGTGCCGCCAACACCATTGCACAAAGACGCGCCACAAGCATGTATAGAAAACAATGAGCATCCCCGCAAGAGCCACCATCATCAACGAGCTGCCATCTGCTAGTTGTCGTAGCGGCGGCGAGCCGGCCACTAGCAAGTGTGGCAGGTCGCAACCGCGTCGGTCGACAGACCGCTGCCAACTAATAGAAACCAACCCACTGAAGATCGCTCCTGAAAGAAGCATGCCGCACCACTATCCACTTGTGCCAAGCGTCGCGACCGAACCCTTCCACTATACTCCACCGATTGTAGTAGTTGCGCAATGTTGCCACCAACGTAACCATTATACCTCACCAAGCATAGGAGCCACCGCAACCCCGACGAAACTAACTGTCGCAAAGCGAGACCAGTCGCTGTGGCCACAGCCACGGTGAGCCACCGCAGGTCAGTTGCCGCTATTGTACCAAAGATGTTGCAGCACCGGTCGAGAAATGTTGTCACCATGACTAACGCCCCCCACCATGGGATGCTCCAGTATGGAATGAGGTACCCTTGAGGAGCAGCCCCTCGCAGAGTTGCGCCACCTCTGCCTCTGGCCCGGGCGGCCGGGCCGCTACCGCCAGAGCAGCAACACCACCACTCGCCCATCCTTCCAACCACGGCCGCTGCCGCCGCCGTCGTCGAGCTCATAAAGAGCTAGCACCGCGCTGTTGCACACTTGCACAGACAACATTAGTAGGAGGCCGCGGGCTGGCCGCCGCTCGGGCATAGGCCCTAGGCCGCCGCCTGATGTACGAGACGGCCCGCCGGTCGCCGCCGCCCTAGGCTCGGGCAGGAGCCTCGATGCCCCCACCTTCGCCGAATCTGGCCACGGGCCTGAGCATTGTGTCTCCTCAACCATATCCAAGAGGGGGCGCCGGATCTGGCTGCAGGAGAACCGAAGCCGCCGGATCCAGCCACCAGAGTAGGCACCATCACCGCTAGAGAGAGGCACCATTAGGAGAGCCGCCATCGGAGGAAAGGAGGAGGGAAGGATGGAAGAAGTGCCCCGCCACCACCATCCTCGTGGCTGCATGGTCTCCGGCAGCACGCTCCGCGTGGCAGTGAGGAGGCATGAGGAGGGAGGGAGGAGGGGCTGGAGCTGGCGTTGTCACCACCCGTGTCGCCCGGATGTGGCGACGCGGGGGCCGGGACTGAATTACTATTTGTTCATCTTGACTACTACTGCACACTGTGGCGCTTGTGATCTCCTACAACTAAAAAGAACAAAATGTGGATATTTTTTGGTACGACATTTGTTTTGGTTCGTCCGTCTGCCCACGCCTACAATCGCGCACCCGTTGGTCTCTCGGTTTGCCTTCCCTGCGATCTCCTGCCGCTCGCCGTGCGACCGCGTCATGCCGTAGAAGGAAAGCCCGATCCGCATGATCACCGTGAGTCCACGCCGCACAAAAGGAAATCGCTCATGTGATTCCTCCGCCCGCCTCCCCATCGTCGCCCACCCGCAGCTGACCGCGCCGCCGCCGTACCCGCCCGCAGCTCTCCACGACACAGCCCGCGCCCGCCCGGAGCTGGCCATGATGCTAGACGTGCCCACCCACAGGTTGTCGCGCCGACGGTGCCTACGCCCGCCCACAGGTGCCCGTGACAGCCCTGCGGACCGCCCACTGCCGCCGCAATGTCTTCCTCTACCCGCCCTTGATTTGCCCGCCGAGGCCACCTCCGTCGTCAGTGCCAACACCGACGCCGGGTCGGCACCGCCAGTGTCCTGCACCGTCCTCTTCGTCGTGGGCGCCGCCGTCGTCCTCACCGGCCGATCCCTTCTCCATCGACGCTGCCTTTCCCTGCACAACACGGCTTACGGTGGCTGTAGAGCCCAACGAGATGCCGCTCGTCGCCGCGGCAGGTTCGTCGAGATCCACGACCTCCATTCCCCCTCACTCAACTAGATCCATCTCCACCGCCGTCTAGCTCGTCGCCGATCCACGTCTGCCTGTCCGACGTTTGCATCACTAGCCAAAAACCACTGAGCGGGCTGCTGTGGGGGTGGGCAACGGCACAAGGAGCCTACAACGGCGGCAGCTGTAAGATGTCCAAGCTGGTCCTGCAGTTGAAGATCCTCCGCCTACGTCAAATCATGCAGAGTCTCTAGTGGATTGTGTTTATTTTATTTTGTTGAGATTTCCGTTTAATTTCTTGTGATTTTTTGTGCTACCCTGTGCGTTCTTTTGTAGGTCTTTACCTCCCAAATTCTTCCCTGGTGGAAGGATAGATCTTGGTGTTGCTTCACAGTGCAGCCGGTAGTTAAAGGTTAGTGTCAGGTCTCTGAAGTATCTGAACTTGGAGAACTCCTGAAAGTTGGTTCGATCTCAACTTCTACCGGTGTCCATCGGTTGGTTTATGTGATGGCTCCTAGGAGGACATGCAAAAACCTTTTCATTTTCTGATTTTCTTGCTGCTGACATATACCGCTCTGTATCTTGCTGCTGCTTCGCCTAATATAGTCGCACCTCATCTGAAAAACGGATCCCATTCTTTACATGCTTGCATTCACATGTGCAGATACATATGTGAAGCAGAAACCATCAGAGATGTAAAGTTTGGAAAATTTGATATGGCACATGCTGATGCAGGACTAATTTCTATGATCCTAACCACTACAATGGATTGACATAAATTTGTATTTATGATCTTATCTGTTACAAAGGAGTTTGTGATTATTTTTTCTGGATTCTGAAAACAAAGAAGATCCTATCGCTTTCTGGAAACTAAGCTTATGTGACTTTACTGCATTTGTCGTATATATTGATACACCCTTTCTTTTTATCTCCTAGATTGGAGCTTTATTTAACAAGATGATGGTCATGTCAATGGCAAGAAAGCAAGCCTAGACCAAGCCTGCAATGCAATGGATATATGGATATGTAGGTTTTGGAGATTAATCATCTCTATGCATAGCCATTTTGTATCTGATCAATGGTGCATAAGACTTCTTAGCACCTGCCAATATGATGTTCACAAATGAATTCAGAGTTTGGTTATTCATAGTTCAGGTTCTAATAAAGCTACAGTCCTACCCCAAGCATGCAGTAGTTTTTTTCTTGCTATTATCACACTAGCAACTGGATATGATGGTCATTCAGTAACTGCATGATTTTATTTGCTCTTTTATTGATCTTTTCAGACTAAGCTTCCTCTTGGACAGTCACTGGAATACCATCCTTCCAGCATGGTGGGCTCTTCTGATTGGAATGTCGCTTTTGCATGTTAATGTTTAGGTTAGCTACCTCTCCCTAATTCTCTTATATTTATTGAACCATTTTCTCTATGGAATTCAGTGCAAGCGGTAGAGTCTTACCGCCTATGACCAGGTAATTGCTTGATCAATTTGGTGATCTTTTTTACTCCATATGTGTCTAACTAATGTTACCTTTTTTACAGCCTTC